GAGTGGCCGGCATTACTCGAGCCCTATTGGCGTTGAGCGCCAATCGTCGGCCGACAGCGCTCTTACTGTTGTTCACATCGAGTTTGCCGTCGAAATACATATCATTGATATAATGCAAGAGTCGGTCGATTTTCTCCGGAAATAGCGTTAACTGTTCCTCAATCGAGTTGATCGAGTCCTCGGTTCCGTCGCCGGCCGTCGGGTCGGCCGAAGCGTTGGCCAATCCGAACATACCCTTAACCTTCTTCGCCATGAAATCCATGATCTCGTAGTCGTTATTCTGTTTCATAACGTCGTGTTTGACGGTCTCGAAGGCGCTGATGATAAGCGTGAGGAATATGTTGATCAATACGATCGCCGCTACAAATACAAACATGAAGAATGCCAGCGGACCTAATAGAGGGCTGGCCCGACATATGGCATCGAAATCAAACTTTCCTGCAATTTAAATGTTTGTTTTATTTATTTGATTAATTTTTTATATTTCTTATTTGGCATTTTAATTCATAGTATCTGTCAAAATATTTTTGTTAAACTATTTTCGCAAACATTTAATGTATTGTTATGTAAAGTAGTCATTGAATTTTGATGTTTACGCTGTCAGTGACTATTGACTGAAATGCTTACACAATATGATTGACTCCAGATTTCTATTAAAACATGTTTTTATTATCAATATTTATCTAAACATAAAAAGCAATATTTGAATATTTATATTGAATTCTTGTTCACAACTCTTATTATTTAGCCTAAAATTGGGTCACTTTTGGTGTTTAATAATAGATTATCACTAAAAGCGTTCAATCGATGAATGAGTTTCACTAAAAGAATATATCAATCATTTTTGTAAATCTACTAAAGATCTAAAGGATTTGCTATTTTTTTTATCTGTACTTAACTAACAGTTAAAAATAACAAAAGCTCTCTCTCTCTCTCTCTCTCTCTCTCTCTCTCTCTCAAAATATTAATCTTGAAAATATGTTTAAACTCAAAAACGTAAGTGTTTTTTCACTTTAATTTATAAATTTTTCTCAATTAATAATAAAATAATTGCTAAATATAGCGAATAAATATTTAAACAATATATGCAAACGCATGAATAAGTTAAGTAAATATTGTCATACCTGTAACCATACCAAACGTGGTTTCAGCCGAGTTCTGGACAAAGAGATTAATATTAATTAAAGACATTAATTAAAGCCAAAGAATCCAACAAAACAAACACAAAAGTAATGCTTACGACAAACGACGAGAAATCACTCATTTGTAGTCCAAACAAGAGGTAAAACATTTGGACGAAAGCGAAGAATACGGTACAGAAGACAATGCAGAAGGACTTCAAGTCCTTCGAGCACTGGGCGAGCGTTGAGTACAGAATACCCATACGTTTGTTGAAACGCAAGATGCGGATGAACTTCAAGATCGCCACGAATGTAGTGAAAGCGATGATATAACCAAACATCTCGTCAATTGTGGTCACGTATTGCAACTTCACGTATCCGTTGCCGTGTGTGGTGTTAAACACCTTCAGTATCTCTTGGGTGAGTACAATGCGGTACACGTAAAGCACCATGGCCGCGTACGACAGGCAGATCATGATCACCTCGGCCCAGTTCCAATAGCTGCCAAAATAACTGGAGCCCTGGTTTCGCCAATTCTTAAACTCGCGTACAGTGAAGAAGACAATGAATCCAACGTA